TTCAGCCGAGTCATATCTCTTTTGCAGCGCATTTCGACCGAAGAAAATGTCCTAAAACGGTAATACTTTGGTGTTAACGTTATTTAATGTATTGAAAAGCAAGTTTTCCACACCGCCAACAGAGGACCATGCTCAACTTGTCTTTCTCACAAGTACTCGACCAATAAACGCTCTCTTTTCCTATACTCTCCTCCTGCTATCTCTCTCGTTTCCTGTATAGAGCAACCTGCAACAAATACTCAATAATAAATCGAACTCTTAGGGCACATTTCCTATAAATCAAAAGTTTGATAGAGCAAACTTGTATCAGCGTATCGTCGAACATAATTTGTTAATGCATTGCTTTAGAAAAACGTCCAATCCTTTCTCAAATGTTTCGAAGAATTCAGGAGGAAGCTCATGGTTCCGCGGCTTCCGGAGCGTCCTTCCGAAGTCTTGGCCCGTGTTGCCGATAACATCCTAACATGCTTCGAATCCAACGAGGTGTACACACACGAAACACGGCTAAAAGCGGAACACATCCACGACCTCTCACCGACGCGCACACATCGAACTCTCGTACCCATCCATCTTGTACACGCGTCTCCGAAGAAGTTTTATTCTGTACGCTTTCAACCCTCCGGCCTATCTTCCTCGCGCGATAACGTCAGCCTCTGCAACTGATTGTGAGAGGAGGATGTCGCGCCTTATACGGAATTTCCTTTTACGTTTCGTTCAGGATGATCCGAGACAACTTAAATCTTCGACGTCTTCCCCGAGAGTTCGCATCGACGTCGACCATTCACGCAGTTTCACCGTTTTGTTTCCGCGCTATTTTCCTCCTAATCGTCCGTGTATTATCTCCGGTTGGGATATTGTTATTTATTTGTGATTCGATGATGCATAAAAAGTTTATTCGACAAGGATTCGTTTCTCATTTCGCGCAACTGAAATTTCGTCCACCACAAAAGGCGAAAGACTAAAAAAAACACTAACTTCGATCGCCCGTAGCTGTTTTCTTCCTAGAGAAAATTGATGCAGAATGAATGTGCATGTATGGAAATGTAGGCAGAGTCGTCACTATTCGAGGGACGCTTTCATATTTACATATTCGTAGATTGCTTTATTTAAATCTGACCACGATACAAAAGGACGATAGGATAATGGCACTTACTGATGCATATGTAAATTGAAATCAAACTGTTCGGAAAAATCTTTTTCCCGGCCATCTCCGTCTTATACTTCTTAAAATTATAAAACTACAGAAGTCCTGATACATCGTTACACTGGAGGAATAAGAGAAGAAATAATAATCATCTTAGTCAGAGTTGTAATAATTCCATAAAGATGGCAACTTTAGTGAAATCGTGCGTAGATTCTGGCTGCGAATCGTATCGTATTCATTCCCTATTCCTTTCACTCGGAACAATCATATACATAGATCGGAACACCTCTGATTTTTACAAAGATCATCCTGTTTTCTCCGACACGGCTCGGCAGTCGAGAGGGAGAAGGAAGGAGGAGAGATAGGAGCCTTAAACTCTCCTCCGCTCTTCAATTTTGCCTTCTTCCAGCCACTCTCTCTGTCTTCTCTCTTCCTCCTCCGACGAACTATCCAAACCCGCCTCTATTCTCCATTCTTTCCTTGACTGCATTTGTTCCTTATTAGATATTCCGTTTTATTGAACGAAGCCTAGAAAAGCCTTCCTTCCTGACGCCCTTTCTTGCATCCTTTTGCTTTGCTCCAGAGCTACACACGAGGATATATATTCTTCCCCCATCTTGGCCCTTCTGTCTTCTTTACTCTTCCTTCTATTTCTTCCCCACCCCCCTCCCCCCTCCCCCCTGTCGTTTCTCAGCCGCCTCTCGTCCACGACATCATTTTATTCCGCGTCTCGAATTTCAAACGTTATTATTCACCCTTCCGCGAACCCCTCCGCGAATCTTAGATCTTCCTCGTCGAGCATTTCCGGTTAGGTGCGCACCCGGAAGCCATTCTTCCTTCCTTTTTCTGCTGTTCGACTCTTAGAAATGTTTCGCTCGGCTATACGTCGATTCCATTTCTTGTGCAGCGAGGGTGACGGGGGGCGGGGGCCGGGAGGGAACGAAGAAGCGGAGAGGAGAGCCGGTGGAAACGAAGCGGCAGATCGACGAGGGCGTACGGGAAAATTTCTTTGAACATTCGATCGGGGGATCAGAAGTGTATTTTGATGAGAAGACAGGGCTAGGTTTTATCGTCGCCGTTGTTCGATGGACCGAGCTACGATCTTGAATATCATAACCGTGTAAAGTCGTACGGAGAGTGTGGAGATTAACGCGTAAAATCGTCGAATTTGCGACTTGCAACGTGGGGACGTTCGAGAACAACGAATATATACCTCTGATCATCCTGAATCGGTGACAGCCCTTCTCTTGATCCAGGCAATCGTCGTTTGCGAGCTATCATCCACAGAAAATGACCGCATAAAGCCTTTCCCATACGCGTTACACCCTCCCTCTTTCCTTCCTTCTCTTTTCATCTTCGATATCCTCGTTTCCTGCTTCATTCGGTCGTCAATCTTCCCTCTTGACTTTCTCATCTTCCCTCCGTTCTCTCGGTCCTCCCATGCTTTCCCTTGGACCCCCGATTCCTGCGTCTCTCACCTGGACAACCGATTATGTCAGTCAGACTTAAAGCAACGTTTGTTTATCTGATCCCGCGTTATAACTACAGACAGACAGGCTACCGGTGGCTCCTCCGGGCGCTATCCACTGCGTATCCGATCAGAGACGACGGGGGAGCAAGAGGACCAGGTAAGGTCAACGTTGGGACAAGGGAGAAAGAAAAGGTGAACGCGAGCGGCGTGCTCCGTCCTGTCGCTCGAGGCGAGGACGGCTCTCCTTCGGAGAACAGTTTAGTTACGATGAATGGACCGAATGAATCACGCAAACCAATTAAGGATTACAGTAGACGATGTTCCGGCACCGGTGCCGTGAGATAGAGAAAGCAAGACTGCTCCTTCACGCCTCCTTAACCTTCGCTAGCTCGCACTTAATTGGAACAGCTAAATATACTTTCCCGATCGAATGTTCCGTAAATTTTCTTCGAACGCGCTCGATACGCGACTCTAACTCCGCTTCTGTCACGCAGCCCTCCAAACAGTCAATCCACTGCACGAAACTTAGGAGCATCGTGCAAAATGATGCACAACGAGTAACGAAAATATTCCTGATCTTCGTGCTATAGCCAAGGATTTATTCATCGACTCGTTTGCTATTAATTAAACTTTTCCCTACTCGAAAACATTCGCAAGGACCTAAATAAGCAGAAGCGTGGAGTTTCAACGCTAGAGAATATGGCGGTTGAGCACTTTCTAACCCAGTTTCTCTAATTTATCCCGACTTCCTAAAGAGACACGTGAACTGACGTTAACTTGCTCTAAAATGATACTTCTGATTTATTAGAGATTTGCGTGTTCGTCTTCTATTGCTCGGTAAAATTGCTGCAACCGGTCGTAGTGCTTTAAAGAATTAAACATGCTGGGAGCTGTTTATATCTCTGTCATGTCTGGTTAGCAGATTAGGATTGTTAACGTGCGATACTTTGCATAATCAAATAAATTAGATCGATCTAAAGTTTCAAATTCTATTCAGGAATGACGAATGGAAGTTTTAGATCCTTTATAATAAGTTACTTTTCCTTGTTATCTTGTATCGTGAAAGAGATGCTTTCGAATTCTTTTGTGAAACTAGCTCCGAAACTATGTCATCGCGATAGCTGTATAAATAACGTATGCATAATCCTCATCACCAGAGATATTATAACTCTGTCTCGTATTCACTCAAGAACAAGGTCCGTGTCGTATAGATTTACGACGAATTTTAAATAAGTGGGAGTTGTTCCCGTTCCTTTCTACCTAGAACCAATTTATTTTATCTGACAATCTAACAATTTATCTTTGACGCCGTGCATTCGTCTACGCTTTTCCTTCGCGTTATCTTTAACGAGATCACAGTTCATATCCTACGACTTCAATAGAGTAAAACGTTAAACATCTAAGCGTATATCTGCATAGCAACTTAATAATTTTACACTTCCGTCCATTCTCTATCTGCTTAATCGATCTCTGATACGTTTTGTATTTAACATATCCTGAATTATTCCTCGGGGTTCAAACATTCGACCTGTATTATTCGATTTAATTATAAATAATACATGCAAATGTATACAACAATATTAATCCCTTTCCTATGCAGTGAACCTGAAGCTTTTTGCAGAATCAAGAAACAGTTTCTTATATAAATAATTCCCTTTGAATCTGTAAATTTTTAATTTTGTTTCAACAATCGTCGAGTTGTATATGTTTGTATTATATAAAAAATTCCACAAATTTAAAAGGAGACACTTTAGAGCTAGAATACCCCTTTAAAGCTTCGAGAATTCGAAGTTTACACTAGAATTTAACGTTACGAACTTTCTCCCGATACAATTTGTTCCGCCACTGTCCTCGATAAGGTCTGGCCTAATCTACTGCCAGGAGTCGTCGCGTTACGTTCTCGAGCCGGTCGCGAGAAGAGGGTATTTGACGCGCGAAGCCGACACCTCTTCTTCCTCGGTCTTTCCCGACAGTGAACACTCTCGGGATCGAGAGCCTGGCGGCAGCAGGGGTAGAGGGGTGGGTTGCAGAGTGCCGATTTAGGGGATGAAGCGCAGAAGTATGTCCGCGTGTACGATCGCGTACGCGTAGCTGTATGCATCCCTCGTGAACGTACACGGTCGAGGCAAAGCACGAGCAGGGCAACGAGGGGGTGGGCGAGTAGGGACGAAGGGGTAACAATGCCGACGAGGACTACGAGCAGGACGTCGTCGTCGACGACGACGACGACGACGACGGTGTCAGCGACGGCGTCAACGACGGCGCAATGTCGCCGCGTTGTCGCACGCATGCGCCCCGCAGAAGTAACAGCCGCGGACTCGGGTCGAACCGGCAAGCTAGTCAGTGCATTGCCAGCTCCTGAACCGCGAACGCTAAACTCGCGCGATCCAGCGTTAATTCGCGATTAGGTACACCTAGACTGGTTTTTGCCAGTGCGTTCTGATCGCGAACGCGTCGCTACGGACTCGTACGATCGGACAACCGACGGACCGGACCTATCCACCACCCACTCGACCGTCTTTGTTGCACCATCGTGTTTATCCGTGGCCCTTCGACGCTCGAAAGATACGGAGAAGTGAGATTAGAGTGTACAGGGGGGTCCGTAGTGTCCGAACACTGGCGCGTACATGTGTTGTGTCTTCGAGCGACAGGATACACCGGCCGTCTCTGGATATACGTGCGCGGTACCGCCGTACTCACGGGCTCGTGTGACGGAACCGTGCGACTGCATTGCACGACCGACCTGCAACTCCACGGACGTGTTTTCTGTCACCGGCGATCGGTGCCCCAGATGATGATCACGATGATGATGACGGTGATTTGAGAGTGTCGTGCAGTGCTGTTGTGCGACGACACGGGCAACCGGTATCGCCAGTGTTCTTATAGGATCATTACATGTACCAATTAGGTGAGTGTAGCACTCTCGGTGAATTTTAACGCGTTTAATGCGGGGCCTCGTCGACCGTGTCGTCCGCATATGGTCAATCGCGCGCTCTTTCGGTGTTTCTTGACTCCCCACCACGCCCAGAGTTTGACCGCTTGCTCGCTGGCCCCGAAAGTCGCTGCTCCGAAAGTTGACGAGCCATCCTTTTTGCAGACGCGAGACACCAACTTGCTCCCGGAAGCGAATTGATAAGGTGTGAGGGCGCAGACAGAGTAGTTTCTGCCTGACAAGGGTGCACCTGTGCTCGTGGAATGATCGGTGATTGGGGGATTGAACCTAACATCAAGGGTTGTAGCGTTTCTCTCGTACTTTATAATCTTCGATTTCACCGCTCGAATAATCGAGTATTCGAAACGATTACCATTTGGAGTCTCAGTGCCTCGTATTTGGTTCATACGTATGTCTCGCTTTAATACAATGTTAAAGCTTTCGAACCGTTGTACAGAGATTTTTCTTGTCATTTTCGGAATCTAAGGTTACCAAATATTGAAATTTTTTTCGCGATCGGACGAGCGGTGATGCAGTTTAGTTTAAATTCGGCTCTTCTACACCCCCGCGAAAGTATCGAACATCGATAGTGCGCGGAGCAGAGCGGATTTTGCTTTAAAAGCGAAAACAGATTTCGAGCGTGTCGCGTGCGAACGTTGCGCGAAGGAAATTTATTTAGAAGCGAAGGCCGTTGACCTTAATGTTCTTGACACTGGCGCTAGAAGAAACGTTGGGTCTGGCGAACGTCGAGTGGATCGTATATACGTAGAAACTTAGCTGGTTCGTCACGTGAAAAGTTCATGCGACGATGCGATAATGCCGGGGAAAACAAGATTGATTTGAACGACCCTTGGAAGGATAACGAAAATGTTTTTGTTTAATCTTCGTCTTTGAGACCTAGCTAATAGGTTATCAGGGCCTCCCGCGTTACGTTCAAGTTCATATCACGACACTTCCTGATTACAGTTCGTGTGGATTAGAATAATGCCCCTGTTAGGGGTGAAACATTCCTGGCTAATTACTTTTTACCTCGAGGTTGGTTAGTATTCAACCTTTTAAGATTTTCGAAGGTTATTAACATCGACAACATAATTAAACAAGTGGACTCGAGTTTCGATGTTTTAAATAGTATAAAAGTGTTTTCATTTGTGTTCTTCATAATTGATTAATAAAAGTGTACTCATTTTCTCCATTAGTAATATTATACGAGTTTGGAAATCTAGTAGCGTGACCATAAAACGATGGACATGCAAAATGGAGAAATTTAAATGTATAATTCGTTAACATTCGAAACAATGTTGTAACTAGCAATAAATTACGCGTTTCTTCCACCGAGATAATGTCTCAATTAAGGAAATTTATCGAGTATAATTAAATATTAATTTTTTTGCAAATGTTACGATATAATGGATTCAATGACTTGCGTGAGAACTTGTTAGTACGTATGTATATTCGTATGATACCGTTTCGCAGTAAATTTGCTCTAAATAAATGATAGCGCGAATTTGAAAACGCATTACCAGCATATATCGTTAATTTACACTTCAGCAATTACGAGGATATATAACTGGTCGTTTCAAATTGTGAGTTGATTAACAACATCCAGCGTTAGGTAGAAGTGTAATTAAAAACGACGAGAATCAATATTTATGCCACGACACTTCCTCTGTAGCTCACGTAATTATACGTGCGCAAAAATCGCTTCCCTCTTTACCATTCTTCTTAAATAGAATTAAGTATTCTTCTAATATTTCCTTGTTTAGATTCGTCTAACTTTAAATAAACTTTTCGTCGACTTTGTTCCTACTTCGTATTATTGTTTCAATTATTTTAGATCGATCAAATTACTGGTTTCAAGATGAAGAATAAATGTTTGAAAATTGTTGTGAAAGTGGTGAACGAAATCAGAAATTCTAATGTTAAAAAAATTGTTTTAAATTTGAATTAGAAAATGTTTGAGAAACTGAGTCGAAGTTATAGTTTTGCATGACTATTTTTGTGAAAATTCTTTTAATTTGATTGCTGGAAAACTGGAATTTTCTTTGAAATGGAATACGTTGTTAGAGAACGACGAAGTCTAAATTGAATTATAAATTTCTGAGAACCGTTGATGTTACAGGCTGACCTATCGGTGGCATTTAAGTGGAAACAAATGCAACGTGCGTTTTCACTGGTGAAAACGACCACACGGTAGTACGGTAGCGTGTCACACGTGCCGTTGGCAGGTACGAAAATAGTTTCGCGAAAAATAATGACCTGTGACTCGCCACGCGAGCAACGCGATGTAGAAGGGCGAAATTGAGTAGGATATGGTAATAGTATAGCTTGGGTGTGTTAGCCTCCAAGCGCACCATTAGGCCTCCTATCACGTAGCAAACTATACGCGATGAATTGCTAATACAATCTTCGAAAATCTCTTTAAAAAGATAACCAATTATCGCTACCGAATATAGAAAATACAGGATATTTAAATTCATTGATCTCTCATCGATAGAACCCTTGATTAAAACCATCTATTTTCGTCTCTAAATTTTATTCGATAGAAATGTTTTGTTGATGAGTGCAGTATGCTCTGGGTCGTTATCTGCCTGGTAAATCAAATTATTTAGTATACAGGTTTCTGCATATTGCAACAATACCTCTCTCACAATATTTAAGTAGACAAATCCGTCGATAATATCCCCATTATGGCGAATTGGGCCAACTTCATTTATCGATATTGCACTTCACGCAATAACAAATTAACCGTCTCCTTTTACCAGCTTAATGCAAATTCGACGATAATCTCCTCCAACGCGACGTCTAACACACGTTTTTCCATCTAATTCGAGTCTATTAAGCTTAAATTCGTCTGTAAATATTACGGCAGCTATTCTCCCGAGCAAATCAAATTAGTTTTGGCGAAAATTATCGTCTTTCATCGCGTCTTTCTACTCGTCTTAGCAAATCAAATTCATTCGACAGCGTCGAACAGTCGTGACACTTATTTGATAATTTGACAAAATATTAAATTGTTATGTGTCCTTTCTCCATAATTGCAGTAATAATTTTAATTTCTTTTTCTATTCTAATTAATCTTTGAAGAGGAATTGGTCCATTTTGGTCCAAATCTGAATTCTATTATTCATTATTATCCTCAATTTTAAAAACTAGTTTTTCACGATACTGAAATAAAGTGAGATTACGAACACATTCCAACCTGTTAATAATCGATATATCGAAACAAACGGCAGTCAAAGAGTACAGAGTATATTACACCAACCCAGAAAATTTTCCAAAACACATAAAACTGTATCTTTCTACCTAAATAGATACCTTTGTTTATAACTTTTCATTCCCACGGTAATTTAAATTTCTCGATGTTCGTAAGTTTTGCACGTTAAAGAAGTATCATCGTTATTATGATTATTATTTGGACGTCTGTATTTACGAAGAAGTATTCCAAAGAAATTGCGCAAGAAGGTCTCCCGGGGGCAAAGGTCGAGCAGCGTGCTTTTTCTCCGTGCCTTTGTCTATCAAAGGAAACGGTCGGATGTCCCGTCGAAAGTGATTGGTGGAATCTGCAGCGTAGATGATTCATGCAACGAAATCCAATAGTCTTAAGACGATTGAAAGCTATTTGCCGCGTAGCGAGTTGAGAACAACGACGAATGACCGCGATTAACTTCTCGGTAGCGTGGCAATCAATTGCTCTTGATAGAACGGTTCACTGAATACGAGAGCGAAGCACTCCTTTGGTCTGACCGCCTATTAAAAATACTTAACTGGCCGGTCGTCGACCCAGTGTCGTCGATACCATCGAAATGCAAATGTACTCCGTATGTGACCACATATTTATGCATTCTTCGATTCCAACACACGTTTGCGCTCGCCTTCCAACGGGTATCGTTACGGAATCGTTCGAACGCTTATTTCAATTCGATTACTTCAAATATTTCTTATATTTTCGTACATTAAGTGCATTCTACATTTTATCAAAAATTTAAATTTCGAACACTGTTCTCGAGAAACCATTTTCTGGCCATCCAAGCCACCCAACGATACGTTTCGCTCGTGTCTCACGAAGGACTAGGAAATACCGAAAAAAATGACAATATCGGAGCGGTTTCCTTCGAAAAAGCATTTCACGGGGAAGGGTGGAACGTCATAGATGCCGAGGGTGGGCGTCAGACCGAAATGAAACAGCGGATCGTACGCGTCGAGACGAGATGCGCGAAGGTGGAGAGAGAGACGCATCAGGGACGTAGAACAGGCGCATTTAAAAATGCAATCAGGATAATAGCAAGGTGGCTCCGTAAAATCGCACAAAGGAGGGATGCTTCCTGTCTCGACGTTTCCCCCTTATTTCCTCGTTCGCTTCCTTCGCGTGTTACTCTTCCTGGCCGTTGCCTTCTTCCCTACATCTCTTTCCGCGAATCTGCTCCTTGCTCTCTGATTTACTCTGCTTCTGGAACTCCCGCGAGAAACGTCTTTGTCTCGGAGCTTTAATTTGTTAAAAGGGAAAGAAGCAACATCTCTCAGCGGGGAGAAGAATGTTTGCGACGCGGTGCGTACGCGCGAGAGAATCCCGTGCTTGTCAAGTAGATACACTCCTGTACCAGTGGTTCCTAATCTTTCTTTTTCCACCCCCTCGTGGCAGTCTAATGGAGCTTATGGATCCTTTTCCATGCGATGTTTTCCCCGGGATAACGTTCTTAAATTAAATCAGTGTTTTTCCACCCAGTGACGAAAACCTTGGCTCGGCGAGATAAGCTCGCAATGAACAACAGAGCTCTCAGAGAATTTTTTACTTCGAATTCGTTGTGAAATATTTAGTTGTACCTTCTCAAACTGTTGATGATAAATATACAAATTCTAAAATTGAACTGTATCATTAGCTCTTCCCCGAACGAAGAGAAAGAAAATAGAGCGTGTTCGTAACTCTTCCAAGTTTGTTTTTGAATCAATGAGTGATGAAGAAGCATGTAGCTACGTTT